AGTTCATCTAGGATTAAGGATCGATGGCTCGACGCTTTCAACTTCGAGGAACACCTTCCTCAAGGATTCCCTCGCTAAATGGATTACCCGAACCAACGGTGATCGACAACGCCGTCGCGTGCGGAACTTTGACGGAACGATCTAATCAGAAACTTGTTTCGCCTGGTCCATCGAGATGATCGACGTCCGTTCTTAGAAACAACGGGCGAGAGGAAAGCACCGGTGCTTCCCGGGCTGGAAAGCTGACACGAAACACGGCTTCGTGCGCGGACAAGGTGACGACGTTGAAAAGACGAAGACCGTGCGGCTTCTTGCCCTGGGAACGTAGAAAAATGCAGAATTGACTTACTCGTTGACAACGTCCAGGCGTTTTTGCGGCGATAAATGCTGACGCCAGCGATAGTCAGCGGTATCAGGGACACCACTGCTAGACCGCCTATCGCCAAGTCACGTGTGCGTGTATATACTCGGACTACGTCGCTCATAGGTTTAGGTATAGGCGGAAAATTCACGGTTTTCCCCGTTTACACGCAATATTCTTGACCTATCTCGAAAATAATATTAAGGTGGTTCTGAGAAATTGCTAATCGATGGATCATAGTCATTGATTTTATGGAATTAGGTGAGGTTAGGTTTAATAGTATATTTGTAACGCGCTGAATTTTATTGTACTTTGTGATCTTCGTTTTATGATTTTGCTTGCGTTTGTAATGAAAAGGTATTGTAATTATTACTTGTTTATATTGATAATAGCTTTTGTAAGCTCTGGGTCCAAGAGAAGTAAGATTCTAATCAATTTAATATTCCTATAAAATAATCTTGGATAATTTCTCGTTAACCTCTTTGAAAATTCTAGCTGTGGCGCAATTAACGACGAATTTCTTTTGCATCGTCCATCGTTATGAATTATAAACATGAATATTCTAATTTGATATTCTTAATACGATTTAAATGAATGGTATTCTTCAGTTAGCAAATTCATCGAGGTGTTCCATACTTCATTATACCATTCCGTCGTTTGTTATTTATTGTTTGCTAGAAACACGTTTATCGACCTCCTGGAACGGGACGATAAGCAGCGAAGTTTCTGTTGCCAATGAAAATCGCATCAATGTTTATAAATTATGCAACACTCTGGAAGAACGACCGTATGTAGTTGAGTGTCTGTACGTATGCACTAATACGCGGAGTAAAATGTTCTGAGTCCTTGAAATGGTTCTAAGTCACTGTACTCGATCGCAGCACATCTTTATCTGGTTTGATTAACTTTCTCTAAAACCAGTCGCACACGTCCAAATTCGGAAGATTATGAAAATCGGCTGAAACTAGTCTGCTTTCGACGCACAATTTTATTCACGTGTAGGTTCACGTGTACTTGGAAAGTTCTTTTTTTGATGCCGGACGTCTAAACAAGAACATTTTCAAAGTTTCTACTCGGTGTGTTCATTTTCAGCTGTTTCAATTGATAGGACTAACCGACGCAAAACATTTGTAGTGAAACGCCCTCTGCTTGTTATCAAGAATTTTTACTGTATCCAGTGTTAATCAATATCAAAAGAGTCTAAGGAGATAATAGGCCATTTCTTTTACATGTGTTGGATAATCAGAACTTTTATCGCATTGAACTGAGCTTACATTCCTCGTTGATTAATTTTCTAGTAAAGATGTTGACGCTAAAACTAAATAAGGTTTGTATTTTCTTGTAGACATTACAAGAATGCGTTTATTGAAGTTTAGATCGATATATATTTCGGGATATGCACTATTAGGATTTTAGGTATGAAATGTTGTATTTTTAGAGGATAAATAAAGATGTACATACTTTCTGACATGTCATAAATAACAACCTAATAATAATTCAATTTATTTAACTCTTTAGAAAAGTATTTCTGTCTTCGATAATCTTGAAAATGGAAATCTATACAACGACAACGTAATAGAAAATCAATCTATCTAACTTCTCAAGAATGCATATCTTCGATAATTCTGTAAAAGGAAATCTATATGCTAACAACCCAATAACAAACTACTATATCTAATCCCTCAAAAAATTATCTCTATCCTCAATACATCTTGCAGAAGAAATTTACCTAAAAACAAACAACAAACAAATCTACGAAAACCTAATAACAAATCACCTTATCTAATTTCCCAACAAAGCACCTCCACTCCCAATCATCCTAAAAAAACTCCACACACACTAACAATCTAACATCAAATCAATTTACCTACGTTTTCAAAAAACGATCTCCATCTTGAGCGACACTAACCGAGGAAACCAAAAATAGGTAATATCGGTGTTCCGGTAGTTTCAGCGTTGTGTCGGACGCGCAATTCGTAGCGGGGCACGAGCATGGAACGCTCGGGACGGCCATTCAAGAAGAAGTGGATCTGGTTTAAGGCGGATCCGCGGTGGACCGCGGTGCGGAGGCAGGCCGGGCGGCGCGCGTACGCGAGCCGCAGCCGAGTGAACCGGTTCACTCGATTTCATTCATTTGCCGGATAATCGGCGTGTTCCTGTTTGCGGCTCAGGGACGTACCAACGGCGAGTACACGCGCGCTCAAGGTCCCGCCGCTGCCGCACCGCCTTCGCGAGCTCTGTGGAGCTTTCCTCCCTTCCGTCACGCCCGTCCTCCGACGAGACGCCCGTCCACAGGCTGAGGGCGAGTAGTTTCAGCACGAAAGTGGTATGGGACGCGTGAAAGTCAGACGCCGAGCGTTCCTAACGCGACGCGACGACTCCATAAGCTCACGGAAGCTTCCTCCCCATTTTTTTACGTCTGCGCCGCCTCTTCCACTTCGCAGCAGTTAATTGTTAGCTTTATGCTCTGCGAGCAAGGGTGTGTGTACAACGGAGCTACTTTACTCGATCTGAGCGACGTTGTCGGAGCGCTGACGTATTACGATCGCTGAAAAGTCTCGGGGTATTTGTAAATAAAATTTTAACCCTTTCGTCCTTGAATATGTAGCTTTTCCTCTAAATCAAAGAGAGGGCGACGAGCTGTTTCGAAGTGAAACTGAAGCTTTTCTGAGACAGAAATTAGACAAGCACTAATAATAATAATAGTTAGCACTTAAGCTGTAATTTTCATTTTCCTTTGTCTTATAGGCGTTTTTTAATTTTCCATTGTGGCATGAAAGGGTTAAGGAAAATGCTTGGTTGAATTAAATTTGCTCTTTGGTTTATCTATTTGTGAGATTTATTTGTACATTACATATATCTGGGTTTAGAAGTTTCGTTATAATTAGTTGCAGACGTTCAGCGTGATAAGTCCACCGCCGAGGATGCGTCAATGCAGTGTTTCTTGCCAAACACGCATTAGCGGATCTTCGTCAGATACAACGTTGGCTGCGGTGACCTAATCTCTTGAATTCCCCAGATACAGAATAAACAAAAATTTTCTCTTTAATGTACTCTCAAAGTAAGCTGAACAATATTGTTCCTACTGATCCAGTACATCAGTAAAACATTCGCCGCTATAACCTCTGCCAACAACGCTAGCAATAACTTCAACGATACCCCCGCAAAACAATGAACATCAGGCCTCAACACGAGAATTATTTATTTTGTTGCAAGATGTCGAAACAATGCACTTCTTTCGTAACGAACAACAATTAATTCAGGGTTATGCTGCGGGAAACGCTCGCAGTGGGGTTATGAAACATTTTCAAAAGTTGCTTGCTTGCGCTCAAAAACCGTTGAGACGTGTGTCACTCGCGAAAAATAACATTCAACCGGTTACAAAACATTGCCTAAGGGAATTACAACCGTGGAACAGATTGTTGGACGATCGTTTTATGCGAATAATTCGTGAGAGATCAGACTTGCGCAAGAGAGGAAGTTATCGATCGCCGGACGATTTCTTGCGGCACGAGTTGCGAATCTTTGGCTTGGTGTCGCTGTTACGGAGGCGCGACGGACGCGCGTTCCGTGCGGCATTCTTTCTCGCGTGGGTTTTTCGCTCGTCAACCATAGAAAGCGGCGTATAGGAAGTCCGCCGGTTTCTCGGTCGATTTATGTAACGTGCGACAAGTCCGTCGCAAAGAAAAGCGTACCCGCGGACGGGGTTTACATAATGGTAAAAATATCGATTGTGTCGGCGATGGGCTCGTTCCGGGCGCGTCGTAATTGATCTACTGCGCAGCTACGCCGCGGCTGCCGCGCGCAGACTCTTCACCAAGGGCCGCTTCGCTGTTCCGAGGAATTCTATTCACGGCTACTGTCGAATTAAGCCTTCCGCGCACTTTTCGAAATAGTCTTGAGAACGTTGTAAACCGCTCGTGTGTTAACCCGTCGTCATATGATTTATTCGTTGGCTATGATCGATACATTTATTTTTTCGTGAACAATTTACTGAACAATGGATAATTCTGGCCGTTTATCTGTTGTTTGCTTTGAAGTATAATAATTGGTAACAAAAATAATATTTATCTCGAATTCAAAAGAATTGAGTAACATTTATTCATGTTAAATTCTATTTAAAATCTTCACTACGAGTCTGATACGTTATTGTAAGGCAAGGCGTTAATTAACGTTTCTGGTTCAATGCCGTTTTGAAGGTAACATTCTAACATCCCACTATTTAATGAATATATATATATATATATATTTAGTTTCTGTTCCTACAAAGTAATTCTAGAAAACATATCTTTATGAATCATTGTTCATTAAAATCGTATATAACCGGAGCAATTTTCTTAATGAAACAAAAACTAGAAGGACAAGAGTTTCCATTAACAACTTTTGACCTTCCTATCTCATGTGTCTAATACAATTCAGCTTATTATATCACTCAGAGAAATAATTTCTAACTCTATATACAAAATATCGAAATTTAAGTAACAGTCGATGCGTTAATACTGAATTTAGACACTTTCCATGTCGAAAAACGATCGAAGAATCCAGAAACGAAACCGGTGACACAGTTGAACGCTCCCGATGTATCTTCTCTATGATATACGCGCGACCGCTTAGGCGTCTACCGTTGCCAGCTCGTTTGTCGCGAACGTATTAACACGTAGTAAACAGAAAACAGTCATGCGCATCGGCAGTATCGCGTTCGAAATGTCAACAACGCGACAGATGTCCGCGCCATTTATTCGTTAAGCAGGCGAAAGAGCCCGCGGAATAATACCGTGAACGTAACACGCGCGGGACTGAGACGGGTCGGCGCGATTAATACACTACTGGGTGTTCCGAAACGAGCGTCCGGAAAATTAACAGACGCGTTTTAATTACAGGCTCCTATGTGTACAATACCGGAGCGACGAGCTCAAAGGCGTCTACGCGCGGCAGCTGCACAGACGGTCTGGAAGGATCAAAAGCTGCGACGTGCCTTTTTAGCGACTCGGACTGTTAAGGAAATACCCTCTTCGCCGCGAGTGCCACGCAGCCACTCGACTCCCGAGGTAAATGGAGGTGAAAGATCAACATTTCGAGGCTTTTATCGTTCTAGATATTCGCGAAAAGAAGCGAGGCGTGTCCCGTTAGTTTTCCTCCAGCGTGTTCCGCGGCGAAACGTGTTGACACCTTCTGCCGACGTTCGTCGTGAGCTTGCTTTTCTGATAGCTATACCCGATTTTTCCATTGATCGAAATCTTTCAGCTTTGAGCAACGCGACAAGGTTCTTTGATAGAGATTACCATCTGCATGGATAAAAATGATGAATGAAATGAATGAATATCCGTTTTTGAATACCGCTATGCTTACCTTTACCGTTTTACCGTGTTATGGAAGCGTTTATTTTTCAATGAATGTTCCCCGACCGAATATTGTAAGGGCTAGATCAACAGTGCGCTTTTGTGGCGAGGACTAATCTAATAAACGAGGGATAATGTAATATATATATATTGTAATCGATTGACAGTACAAATAGAAATATATAAATATATAAATTTGGCAGTCGAGATTATAGATGCCATTTTTTGAGCAACTTTAAATAATAAATAACAGAATACAACAAAATATGATAAAAATATACATTCTTCTATTATCAATATTTATACTTTCTTTTCATTTTCTTATGTAATATAATATTGAGCATTTATTGTAGTATAATTATTTCAATTTCAATTTTTCTTTCCCTTTATTCATCAAGATTCTTCGCGTTTTCTCCAACAATCTTCCAATATTCGTGCGACAACGATCGAATTTTCCAGACTAATTGAACGCATCGCGACCGTGTCCCTACCACGCGTTTGCTGCTCGGTCCGCTCGGCCACGGTCGCCGCGGGACCTTGCTCGAGCACGCGCGCGTGGTTGTTGCGCGACGTTAAAGCGCATTGTTCCCTATCGGGTTCGTTTACGACTCGCGTTTTCACGGAAGGCGGGAGATAACGACGGTAGCGTTTAAATTGCAAATTGGGAGTTTTCTAGAAACCGGTCACCATTGGCGGAGCGCGAGCATACACCGGACCCGGACCGTTGACGCAGTTTCTTTAAGTGCGTTTTTGTCACCGAGACCGTGGCTGCTTTCCACGGCATGGCGCCGTTATGTTACTAATTACGCCGGAAAAAATGGAATACAGGACGTTACAAAAGCTAGGAACAAACTCGTATTACAAAGTTGACTCCTGTTAATAAAGTAAGGAGCTTCTCATGCAAACAGGTAACAGGTAATGGTAATGGTAATATTGTTTATGCAACATCGTTAGCAGATAAATTGCAATAGGGGTTAATAAGATTAAGGACGTAGAATTAACCCTTCGTCTTTTTGTAATGAAATACTGAATAAATTATTTATTGTACATTAACGAATCAATGGATTAAATTATTTTATTTTAATATTTCATACTACTCAGATGACATAGAATTTAATATTGAATGTCGAATTTTATAATTTTGCCATATCGGTCCATATGATGTTAGTGAATCTCTCGAGTGCAAAGGACTAAATAACGTTGATGCAAGTTTCAAAGTACAAAACGAAGAACCGAGAAGGCGAAGTGTATCGGGCTGCAGAGGGTTAACCCTTTCACAGACCATTAAAAAAAGGAAATACCCGAAATAGCATTCAAAATAGACACTTTAGCTCGCCTTATTTTATCTGTACGACACACGAACTAAACTTTTTAACAAAATTCAATGTGTCTTTTCAAAGAATAAACAAATATATTTGGAAAGAATTTAGCTTATCCATATAACATACAGATTAAACGTATCGGTAAAATTCAGTTTGTCTCTAGAACGTACATACTGAACATCGGAAGGATTAATACGTAATACAGATTTTGTCCCCACACTTTGGAACACCCTGTATTCCTTCCTCATCATTATTTCCTTTGACGAGGCCGCGATACGTGGCTTTGGAACGACGCCGAAACGATCGACGACGATGCGTTTTCCCAACGCGGCAGCTCCGGACAATGCTTCCACGTTCGGCCATTAATTGGTCGATTTTCCAATGCGGAAACGCTCGCCTCCAGTTTCGCGAATCAATTTACTTTCTGCGTGACTGCGGGGGTAGGGGATAGGGGTTGAACACAGTCGAACGACATTCAACGGAGAGCTTTTTGTTCGGCGGGAGCCCAGCACCGCTGGGAATTTAACGCGTTCCACTAATCCGTTTTGCGAGTTCCATTGTGCCGAGAAACTTCGTGTAGATCTTCGCAGCGCGTCGGGTTCCGCTGGAAAATTTATTTACTTGCGGTGGGAAATCGATCCAGAAAGAACGGAGAACACGAATGTCGCTTGTTTAATTTCTATACTAAGGATTTGTACGCGAAACTAAAATATTCTTCGATTTAGGGAATCTAGCGCCAAGTAACAAGTGCCTTTTTTAGAGAAATGTAATAACTAAAATAACAGCATTTTTGAATTTGTAGGAACATTTCCATGTCTCAGATCGATCGTGTTTGTATTTGTTATGAATAAATAAAATTTTATGCAGCGTGTTAATTTGTATATAGCTATGGAACTGTAACTTACTTTCATTGGTTCCGGCCATTTTGGAATTCAATGAGAAATCTTTATAATATGCTTAACGTTGTACATGCAAGATTTTTAAATGAAATTCTAGTATTCCCGAGGTTCGAACGTCTGCCAAAAACTAATTTGCGAAGAAAAACATACATAAGACACGTATCTCAGGTGCCAACGCAACATTTGCTATCTTTTCGCATTGAAAGCCGCGGCGGCACAATAGAATCTTCCTCTCTTCCCATTTTGTGTCAGTGGGTCGCAGTCCCTCTCGTCGCTCGTTTCGCAACGCACTCGTTGTTCAATGATTTTCCGTTTTACTTAAAAAATTCATGCAATTAATTGTGTATCGCGCGTAACTGACATCGCATTCGTGTCCGCCAGCTCGTGACGTTGCTATTCATTTTTAATTCCCCTCTTTCTCACTTTGACAGGCTGTTTACGTACGTCGCGTGTTTCGCAGGTTAAAAGGTTTAACAAACTGAGTATCCCCAGCAGACGCGGCTTGATCGGCGATTACTCACCGTCCCACGAATACTGGATGGGTCGCCGGTGACCCAGATGCCGGGACACACGTCAGAACAGAAACGATATGCCAAACGCGTCGCGATATTAGCTTCAAAAAGTACAGGGTGTCTTGGAATTCGGAGTGTGTGTCGGAGAATTGAATATTGATAATGTTCGTGAAATAATTTATCAGTATTGTGAATAAGACTTTATTAATATATGAATAAAATATTTGTTGAAAATAACATTATCGAAGTGTCTATCTGGCACACTTCAAATCTCGAAGAATCTGGTGAAGCACATTAAATGTGGCTTAGCTCCAATTTTTGTTGTCTTCAATGTTTGTAAAATGCTCCTGTTTGTTTAAAATATAATTCTGAATAGTTTCAGAATTCTGTCATCTTTCGAGGGAAACATAGAGATTGCAATCTTTAACTGTTTGTGTTCTTCTTTCGATTATTAATTCGAAGATTTGAATGAATCAAGATGTAACTGACAGTTACATATTGACTGTAGTTTGTAAATTGTTTTTAAAGTTTACGCTATTCTCTAAAGGAAAGAAATTATTTTTCCTTTAATGGTTGATTTGCCTAAAATCTTGAATGCCTTAAGACAATGCAACTGTTCCGTCAATCCCAAAGCTTCAAATGTCTCAATCAGATCCACAATTGTAGCAGTATTCGAGACTTATGCAATATTACGTAACTCATAATAACTCCAACGACATAATAACTAAACGACTAATATTTTGATTGCATAAGCACATATAAAATGCACGTCATGTTCTCAGTATAATTACTACATTTCGAAAAATCAGTCATTTCCATCCTCTCCACAGTTTTCCGGAATGAAACGTTTGAAAACTGTGGAGACACCCTGTACCTCGGTATCCTGTTCACGGGACTCTTGCAAAACTCGAATTCTTGCGATCCCACTCGTTAGAGAGCCGGGATTTGCATAATAGATTTACAGCGGGCAACGCGTGATATTTCAATCGAGCAGCGTGCGCATGTTTTTTCCCTGTGGCGCACTTGAACTTCTCGAAATGTCAGGGAAGTCTGCATATCACGTTATTGGGACCGTTCGCGAGCGGAAAAGCTCGACACGCCGTGCACGCGCGGAAAATCCGCGCGTCATCCGATGTTTTCCGATTGTTTGCTATGATCCTCGGGTCGCCGCGACTTTCTCGCTGTTAAAAGGAAACAATGGGACCATTCCGAGCGCGAGCGCAACGTCCCTGCAATCAATTTCGCGCGGGAGTAGCGGTAGCAAAGCGCACGACCGGTCAATCAGTTGGCCACCGTCGACGGGGTCAGCTTTCATTCGTATTTACAAGCCTGATTTAGTTCTTGTTTACATTTTCACTAACCCCACAAGGTAATGCGGGGTTAACAGAAATTATGTTTAACCATTTTACACGGGAAACTCATTTGTCGAGGGTAAAGGTAATCTGATTTTGATCACAGTTCTCGCGATATTGATGTTTGAAATACGGTAGGATGCGGTATAACGCGATTAAAAAATCCTGTGTTATAGAGATTTTACGTTTACAGATTTCGTTTAAGTTCCATCGACGTCGTCTTTTGAATCCAACTTCTTCCTCTACTTGTATCATTTTCTTATGAAGAAGTGCACTTTTATTTTTGAATTTTTTAATCGTGTTATAGGGAGTCCTACTGTACTTTTATCCGTTTTAGAGTGAAGAGTGTTTATAATGTTTATTCTTTCTTTTACGGTTATATTTTGAATTAGAGTACATTAAAGTTAATGCAAAATAGTGAAACGGCATTTGAGTTTTACACTGTACCGATTTCGTTCTCGAATTTTTCGGTGAAATTATTCGCTCTATGTCTTGGATATATATAACGTATATATCTTGGAGAATTGTATAGGTGTATCAATTACTTCATTAGAGTTTTGACAGTTTCTACTTTTGAACAACGTTGCCAATAATTTCGAATTGTATATTCTAACGTTCATTCGGCAGATCAGGAACATATTAGAATAGTAAGATAGGGAAACACGGGATTGGAACAAGAGGAATTGGTAGATTCAACGTAGAAGGTATGTTATTTCGATCCTTTATGATTCAAATTACATTCAGGCCTGCAGCCTAGTATTTTCGTCGGTATAATTAGTTTTCATATATACATATATAAATGCTATTTCAAAGCTACGTTCGTACATAATGCAACACAAATATAGGAATAGAACGATGTAGGTCTAACGCATGATAATCAAATTCAGCAGCTTCGGTAAATTTGAGGTAGCTGCCTAACCTTTAGTTACTATGTAACTAACTCTATGTGCACACCATAACATTTGGAGGTCGTTCGAAAGTTATCCTTAATCCTCCTACACTGTTCAGTTAAATGTTATATCAATACTTCGTACATTAAATGGAATGGAATGTAATATCGAACTAAAAGACGTAACACCATTTCGTCAAATAGCATTATATTCTAAAAAGTAAACGAAATCAAAAAAGAAATGTAACAAATTTCATTGTTCACGAACAGAAGTTCCAAAGAGAAACTTTCTCTATAGACTTCGTTAACTATTTTGCACATTTTATAACCATTTTATGGTTAATAATTTACTAGACATAAAAGTGAATCCCATGCAAAGATTTTACAAAGATCCGTAATTAATCATATACAAATGATATTTAATTTTAACTCAAAGGAATAGAATAACATTTGTTAATTTTTGTTCGAAATCTCCATTAAGAGCCTGACACGATATGATAAAGCAAGGGGTCAACGTTAAATATGTTCAATTCATAAGAACCTCTGATGCTTCTTTTGTGATAAAAATTTGTAGAGGATTTTAATGGGAATTGTTTCAAAGCATTGTTCGAATTTTCACGTTCACCTGCTACATTCTCGATGCCATCCCTAGCTATTGCACAATGCGGGGATTGCGTGGCCCGGCCAAGTACAGCGCAATGCCATGATGTTAAATGCAATGTCGACGTTGCATCGTCGACGCGTGTTGCCTCGATAACAGCTTCGCCCACCAGGTGCTGCGTGCACGTGCGTGAAGGGTGTACGCGGTGGCGGAGGGCGTGCCCCTGCCAGGATTCAATCCCGCCATTCATGAAGGAAGATTGAAGCATCACGCGAGATCCTTCGCGAATAACAACATTCTCTTCCTATTCACCGCGCCGGCTAATTAAACGGCAAATTTTATGCATTTCACAATGACTCCTTATATTTTTTTGCATACTCTATAATATGACGAATGCAAAAAGGGTGACTTTTATGCGAACG